GTTAAAACATGCGAGTGTTGACTAAATTCTTCCAGATATTCTATCTCTTGACAGGTGTATGAAAATGTTTCACGATTTCTAGATTTCTAATTCTTCATATTTTTCTAAATAACAATTGTGTCACATGTAACGTTTCATTTTTGAAAAGGGAAATTTTGTATTCTAATTATGCATGTATAATAATGTTAATTTGTAAATAATTTCAAGTATAGATTATTATTTATGTGTAGAAAATTGTATGTATATAAATTTTACATACTGTTTGGAGAAATCTACTGTGAATGCAGTGTAATAAAAATTCTATGCTTGGTAGGGATGTGAAATCTAGGGATGCCTAGGGATTTCTACAAGTGAAATACTACGTCTAGGGAATTCTACATACAGAATACCATATCTAGAGAATTCCACGCTTCAGATATTATGCGTTGAGAAATTTTACACGTGAGAGAAAATTTTGAAATGTTATATTTTAAAAAATTCTACATTCAAAGTGTTTTGTGAAAATTTCTGTTATGTTTTAATAATCATAATAGTATATTTTATAATACTATATTATTTTATATTCTAGGATATTTTTTTTTTTTTTCTATAAGGATATATACTGTAATTTAAGTTTTATTGATTGATTGTCAAATTATAAATATGAAATCGTCGAAGATGAGTTTTCGTGTTATCGATAAGCAAACTTATTGTTATCAATAAGCAAACATATATTTATTTAAAATAAAAGTGACATAAATTACTCGTAATGAAAGATAGAGGGAATAATCGAACAACAATTCGTTGAATTCATATGTGATTATCGTACACGCTTATCAAACCACAAGAACTTAGTCAGTCAGCACAAACTTATTATAGAAGATCACATTCACGGGCTGGAAGGACATAATCGTTTAGATCTACCAAGTAGATTCTGAAGCGAGTGTTCACTAGATAGAACAATAGCGATTACTTCAAGTATTTATTACAATAGTTATTCTTCTACCCAAGTAACCTTTTATAGATACAGAGTATTCATTCATACTATCGTAAGTACTTTCTATCCTATCGTTCAAAATTGAAGTTATAAATAATGTATACAGAACATAGAATAAAATTGATTGGTAAGTAAAAAAAAAAAAAAGAAAAACAAAAACTAAAACTTATAACTGAAGATTAATTTTTAATTGCAAAGTATGTATCAAAACATTTTATAAATATTATATTCCAAAAATTTGTGAAAATAATAATCTTTTATATAATATTTATAAAAAATTTAATTAAAAAAATAATTATTTTTTTAAAAAATAATAATTTCATTTTAATTGTTTTCTCAACCAATAAATATTGTGTGAAAATATTTTTTTAAAAAATTATCTTATGAAAATCAAAAAAAAAAAA